ATGAAGATGATACCTCTGATTGCATAAAAGTCTCCCCCACCTGTTTTTTTTTTTTTTTAATGTGTTGATCCACCAATATGAAGTTTCCATTTCAGGATTGGTGATCGCCTGGACATACGTTCGCCGACGTGGCGTCCACCTCAGCTATGTACCTTTAATTTATTGTTTCCGCCTTGTAATTTCCCCCCAGTGCGCCGTCAATGCCATGATGCGAGGCGGCGCTTTGCCTACGTAAGATTATGTACGATAATGTTTGTGAGTAGGTTTGTAAGTACGTTAGTGGGTACGTCTGTGGGTACGTTTGTCGGTACGTTTGTGGGTACGTTTTTGTGTACGGTCACTGCAGTTGATGCCTTTGCCCGAGACACACCGCGCGACGCTACGTTCGTTTTAATCCATCCACTTTATTTTTTCCCCCCAATTTTATCACCCCACATTTCTTCCACGTTTTATTTTTTCCCTACTTGGAAAAAACGTAACAGACGGGTTTTCTTCTAGGGGGACAGAAAAGACGTGCCCTTTTTTGCAGCCACATGCCCTCGAGGGGGCATAAAAAGGAGTGGCTGCTGTAGTAGTTGATGTTGAGTGAAGAAGACGAAAAGGTGGTGCAAGCCATACCTACTTTCACATTATGTACGGTCCGCACAATTTTCTTTTCTTGGCTCCTCCACGTAAGCGCGGCCGCGGCGTTTCCACGTGATCACTCTTGGGAGTATACAAAATGATTCAGCTGGGAAGGCAGACACATACAACGGAGTTTGATCCCGCCCCCTCGGGGGGGCAAAAACAATTGTGGAAGAAAAAAAGAAACATCTTCATTGACGCGCTTAATACGATGTAGTGTCGACAAAAGGGGGAGTAGCCTACCATGATTTGCCTCACCAATAGTAAGCTGCTTCCTTTTTTGTGTCACTGTGAGGGACTACTCTGGGTATATAAATACATTGCAATATCTTCCTTCCCCTCTTGGAAAATGGGCTCTTGGAGTGTACTCACAAAATCCAGCAACGGTAAGAAAAAGTGCCCCCAAGTGGGGGTAAAACAAAGCTGGGTGACATTTCCCCTCATGGTGACTGGCTTAAATAATGTCCACAGGGTTTCTCCCCTTCTGTTTGTCCTTTCACAGATTATTTTGTTAGCGAAGGGTGAAGAGGGTTAAGCAGGTAGCGCCGGAAAAGCGACATGTTCGTATTTTTTTCCATCCCATAATTTTTTTTTTTTTCTGATCAAATTGTAAGCATTTTGTAACTCCTTCAAAGTAGGCTAACGATTGTGTATCTTTACGCATATAATCTTTTCTGCGCATGTCGATTTGGCCTTCCCCCCCCCGTTGTGTTTGCCGTTTCGCTCTGGTAAATTAGTTATATCTGATGGGGCTATATATACCCATATGTTGGGGGTGGTGAAATTTAATCGCAGAGCTGCAACGTGAGGGCGTCGTTCAAGGCGCTAGCATACCCGCACGGCAGAGCAGCCTCCGTGTGATGTTTAGTAGCCTTAAAGGTTTAAAAAAAAAAAATGTAGTAAAATAAAGAAGCCATTTCGAAGATGCGTGCGGGGGTATGGTAATGTACATGGTATCCCTCCTTTCTTTTATGAGCATCTATATATAAAGTGCCATTTGGGGGCACGCTGCGCTGCACGAACGTAATTCCCCGCACTACACAAGTATACCTTACTGCGGCAGTTTATGCCAGTGGGTGTTTTTCTCCATGCTGGAGGTGTTGGCCTAGTGATAATACTCTGCTCGCCTCTTTTTTTTAGCATCTCCGCACTGCATATCGAGGTACTTGTGGGAGTTGTGGGGTGTGTGACGCATGTGGCTGGGTTTGCAAAGCTGCTGCGCAAATTGGCTTTACCCTTCGTCATCCAAAGGGGATGAACCACACGTGTGGAAGCGCACGTACAAAGGGACGCATACACATACGTATAGAGATACTGACTCCTGTGTCTGTCGGCGCTCCCCACGGGAAGACAAAATGATCGTAGCGGTGGTTGGGTGCACACACGGAGAGCTGAATTTCATTTACGCGACGATTGAGAAGCTGGAGCAGGACAATAACTTCAAAGTGGACCTCCTAATCTGCTGCGGTGACTTCGAATGCGTCCGTTACGGAGTGGACAATGATTGTTTGAACGTCCCAAATAAGTACAAGAAGGAGGAAAATGATTTCAGAGATTACTTCACAGGAAAGAAGAAAGCAAAAGTGCTAACCATATTTATCGGAGGAAACCATGAAGCGGTAAATGTACTAAAGCAGCTATACTACGGAGGATGGGTAGCTCCAAATATATATTTCCTTGGATATTCAAATATACATAATATTAATGGCTTGCGAATTTGCAGCCTTAGTGGTATTTACAAAAAATACAATTTTTACAAACAATACAATGAGCATTATCCGTATGATGAGATCAGTAAGGTGAGTTCCTACCACATTCGGAAATATGAAATTGAGAAATTAAAACTGGTGAAAGATAAAATAGACATTGTTGTGACTCACGATTGGCCAAATAATATCGAGAAACATGGAGATGTGAATGATCTCGTTAGAAGGAAGTTTCATTTCCAGTCAGACATATATAATAATACTCTTGGGAATCCACACACAGAATTTTTACTAAATAAATTGAAACCCTATTTTTGGTTTTCGTCTCATTTACACGTCAAATATTCGGCCATATTTCTACATAGTGATAAGAGGAACTATACTCGTTTCCTTTCTCTAGACAAAGCGGAGCCGAGAAAACATTTCATCCAGATTTTGAATATCGAAAAAAGGAACAACATTCCATATCTCTCGTTTGATCACTTGCCGAAGTCTTCTGCCAACGACCCAGATGGGAAGAGCCACTTCTTCCATCAGGACTACGAGGAGCTGTTGCAGCATGTGGAGGATGTGCAGCGCATGGACGCCGAGGAGGGCAGCAAGGGGCAAAGCGGCAGTAAGGGGGAAGAAGCAGCCAACGAGAACGCCCTGGGGGGAGAAGCAGTCAAGGAGAAATCCCCGGGGGGAGAAGCAGCCAAGGAGAAATCCCCGGGGGAAGATGACCCTAAGGAGAACCCCCCAGGAGAAGCAGCTAACGGGAACACCGCTGTTGAAAGCGCCACAGACAAGATCTCCCCTGAGGAACCCTCCTCCCAGGAGAGCACCACTGCAGAGAGCAAGAAGTTTCACATATGCTACGACGAGGAGTGGCTAGCCATTTTGAAGGCCAACCATCACCTCCTCTCGGAGGCCAGCGACAAGGATTACAATTTGGAGAAGCTCAAATACCCCTCCAGGGAGGACTTGGAGTATATCCAGGATAAGCTGAAAAAATTGGAAAAAATATCCATCAAGGGGAAGGACTATTATTTGGTGCACGGGTATAACAACCCCAGTTATAAACACCTGTGGGAGCAGAGGCAGGTCTTTCTGAGCCGCTTCGATTTCGAGGAGCTTAGAATATACGACGACTTTGAGCGTTTGTTTTTCGCGGAGGAGGTGCAGAAGATGGACGCCGGGTTGGCATTGAACACCCCCCAGGTGGGGAAGGGTGAGGGGGATATAGGAAAGGACCAACGGGAAGAAGCGGGACAGAATAACCAGACCAATGAACACGTTGGAGGCAGCCCTAACGGGGACAATGACCCCCATTCGGGGAAGCAACTCAACGTCGAAGGTACCAGTGAGACCAACGAAATTGCCTTCAGCATTGACTGCTGACTTGGCAGGGAACCGCCCATACAAACAGCCCTACAGCAGCCTCAAAATCTACGTACCATGTGTGTGGACCGTTACGAAAAAATTGTCTTATATTAACGCTTAACAGATGTGTACACGTAGCCATGTGGACATATACGTGGAGTGATTATTCCAGTTATGCGTGTATTGTGTTTTTTTCTTTTTTTTTTTGTCACCAGTAGTTTATCCCCCTTTTTATGCGAGTTCGTCCATCTGGCCATTTAGATAACCATCGCCCTATGTGTGAAGGGGGGCATCTGCCAATTGGGACGCCTGAGTGCGCTCTTGAATGGAAACATTTGGGGAACCCTTTAGTGGGTATGCCCACGAGGGGGTCAGCGTCAGCCCCGTTGCGTATTCCTCCCGTTGGAAACGTCTCCCCCTTCACTGCGTTCCATTTGTTTTTAAATATGGCATCTCTCAATGGAGCGAAGTCACCATTCCCCCTTCCTCACCAGCGAATGTTCATTTTTGTCATCTTTTTTTTTACCCCCCATTTTGGTTTTCATGTTTGCCAATCTCCGCTCCTTTTGTGTTAACTTGGGCCAAAGGAATATGCACTTTGTCATTCAAATCGGGAAGGCGTTTTCCCCAAAAAAGTCCGCTGTGCTCTTACATGTGTGTAGAGCTCCGTTGGAATAGGAAGCTATACCAGTGCTGGGAAGTAATAACAAGTTGGCTACCTGCTCTGTACTTACACCTTTTGTGGTGATTAAAAAAAAAAAAAAAAAAAGAATAGAAAAAACTGGTGTGCAAATTACCCAACAGCGACTTTGCACAGTGTAGAGGATGAACAATTGTTAATGTTGTATGGATAGTGCCCCCCCCTGCGCTGCTCAAAAACTCGCCTAATAATTCAGTGAAAGACGGAATCGTCTCATTTTTGCCCCCATCTCGTCAGTCATGTTCACGAGGCCCAGGGAAGAAGCGGAACAGGGAACAAAGCTATCTATATATGCATATATGAACATACTTACACGTGTGCATACGAATATAAGCGTACACAAAAGGGATAATTTCTCATCGAGGTTAGCTTAAAAGAGGTAATACTGGTAAGACTGACTTCTCCGATGGATGATGATCTCAGCATAAGTGCGGACGCAACACAGACAAATGATGGGGGCTATCTGTTGAACGTCGATGATGGTGAGGACGCACCGGGTAGAGAAAAAATGCACACCTTCAAATCTTGTGGCGAAAGTCAAAGTGGAAGCCCAAGGGAAAGGAACAAAAAGAGGAAAAAAAAAAAAAAAAAAGAACAGTTCAAAAGGGATAATAACTTAGCAGCGTTCGATTACAGAAAATATTACGAACGAGTCAACAAGTGGAATGAAAAAAGACGGGCATACACAAAGACGGAAAATTATGGGGCGGAAAAAAAGGCAACCAGCAAAGTGTGGAAGGCGAAGGAGAGCGAAAAGGAAGGGAAAAAATGCGCAAAGAGGAAGTATCAAATTTCGCAGTGCCTGTCAATCCATCAGCGGAAAAACAAAGCAAATGGGAGTAATGAGAAGGATCGGTGTGGGCCCAAGAGAGGGGGGGATCCGCTCTCGAAATGGGCCAAAGAGGCCCGAAGCAGCGTCAAAATAGTCAACACCTGCAGCAACTGCGGTAGTGGCAACTGTGGGGGGAGCAACAACCAGGCCGGTAGAGAAGAGAAAATTTCCTCCCCATGTGGGAGAAACGTCAATCAGGAAGTGAATCAATTGGGCCTAGTGAGTCAAGTCGACGAAGAGCCTGGAAGAAAAGAAAAAGAGGAAGCCCAGACGAACGAATGGTCAAATGAAAAAAGTGAGCATTACAACCATACGCGTGACCCCCTAATGGTGAATCACGAGGAGCAGTCCCTCTCCCCCTTCATATGTCTCAGTGAATGCAAAAGGCATAAGCAGGATCAAGTGGAAAAAACAAGTGATATGCATAATAACGCAAGTTCCAATGAAACGATAGTGGAAAATGAGGAAAAGATGGCCTACTCCAATAAGACCATAGCGGACAGCTTCGACGACGTGGTCACTTTGAGTCTGCGCGCTTCGAATGGGGCAACCTTCGATGATTCCCAGTTCAGCGGCGATCATTTCGGGGGAGACCACACCAATGGGGACTACCTCAACGAGGACTACCACAACGGCGGCTACCACAACTTCCTCCGCAACCGCACGATCCTTATGAAACCGAATGAGCCCAACAGCCAGACGTTCGTTCCCCCCTTGGAAAAACCGAACGGATTACTGATCTGTAGACAGAGAGAAAAGGACATGGTGAAACAAGGGACAAAGCGAACGGTAAAGGGAACGCCCAAAACAAGCATATATAATGAGAGGATTCAATTTGACGTAAGTGATCCCACCAGGATCTCTCATGAGGAGGATATACTGATTCACACTCTAAAAATGCATGACCCATTTTGCACTCATAATGGAGGAAACAACTCGATCCATTCGACCGGTTGCCAAAACACCTTCGCTAGTTATTACGAGCCGAATGGAGCCACCTATGAAGGGATCTACAAAGGCATCTATAAAGGCAACTACGGAGGAAGATACGGAGGCAACTACGGAAGCAGCTGCGATCCACTGCCCACTCGCTTCCCGCATCGCTACTACAAGTGGCCCCCCCTGAGCATCAAAAACCCCTTCGCCTTCATCTATAAAAGTGCCAAATTTTTTGGTCACGTTCAAGAGGCATGCAAAAAAAGGACAACCCGAGAAGCACAGCCACACAGCAGCAGCACCACCACCACCACGACAATAAATGTGTATGCAAAGAGGAAAAAAATATACACAAAGGAGCAACACATAGACGAGGAAGCCATACGCAAATTGGCTGTCTCCAAGGAAGACCCTCTCTTCAATTTTGAGATGGATAATTTTAACTCCTCGGAAAAATCCTCACTACCGATTTGGGAAGGCTCTAGAAGCAAAGTCCAGGGCACTTTTCAAAGATGCAGCTGGAGAGACAACAAAATGAGGAGCGACTTCACCAAGCAGTTGGGAGTAACGCCCCCCCAAGAGAAGCTCCTCAAAAGGGTAACTAGCGTGGAAGAATTACACACATGCGACACCAATGAGGAAGGAATAAGGAAGGAGAGAAAAATGCCCATTATCAGTATGGTAGAAAGTGCGCCTGAGGCTGACGAAGGAGTGAACCTCCCGAGGAGACACACAACCGTTGAAGAGGAAGAGGAAGGGGAAGAGGAAAAGGAAGAGAAACCCATGAACAAACACAAACGACTAATCGGCGTAGGGAAAAAAGACACGGATAGAAACTTCGATATTTTTCTATCCCTCTTCATGAAGCACGAAAAAAAAGAAGCATTCCTCTTCTGCCTAATATGCGACGAAGAGCTGACGGAAAATTCGATTTTTTTTCAAAATTGCATCAAGCCAATGTTAGACGAATATAGAAGATCCAAATTGGAGAAAGTGAAGAAAGTGAAGAAAGAGAAGGATATCTCCCCCGATGCATCCCTCAGCGACATACCTATAAACAAAATAATCCTAGAAATTATGATCCCATCAATAAAGAAAAAGTACCTCAAGTATGTGAGTGGGTTGTACGATAAGAAGGAATCCACTGCTAATAACGACATTAACGGCTCAGATGAGCTACAAAAGGAGGTACTCGAAATTAACCAGAAAATGCAAAACTTGAACATCAAATCTCTAGATAAACATAGCACCGAAGTAGACATAAAGGAAGCTAGTCGTTATGAAAAAAAAATAAAATTAATTGAAAAACCAAAATGGAGCAATGAACAAAATTTAAAAAAACTCCTACTGAAACAACAAAATTATAACCCCTTTACTATATTTGGGACGAGCATTAAGGAGGTACACCTAGAAGAAGTCTTCACCCTCGACGTATACAATAACTACGTAACCAATGAAGACAGATTTAGAAATAAAATTCTGTACGATTTGTACGTAGGAAAGTATATACAGAATTTATACCACAAAATTGACTACCAGGAATGGACCTTTGTTCTTGACTCTCTAAAAAAACAATGGAAATATTTTACCAACCTAGAATGTAATATGTTCCTAGATCCACTCCTATTGGAAGAAATTCTATGGTACATTGATGAGAACAAAATGTATAAGGACAAAAGTGAAGAAATGTACACTTATGAATACTGCTTCTGTCCTACTCCCGATCCTGCCAAGGAGATGAATCTGAATGACGTAAAACACTTTGCCACATCAATGGCAGAAAGGTACACGTTTCACCAGGATGTAAAGTATAAGAAGTTGTCCCTAAATGAGGAACGGTTCTCCCCGCATAAGACGCTTATTTTAAAATATGACGATGTTAGTGTGGAACAAGACGTTTTAACTTATCCAGGAAAGCAGAAGGAGAAACTGACAAAGGAGGCCCTCCTTTTTAATGTACCTAGACCATCTAGCACATTCTACTACGACTCGGACTTCTTTGAAAATAAAGTAAAAAAACACATGTTCAGGAAGAAAGTGAAACACTGCAAGGGGAACTTGGACGTGAATTCTCCATCCAGCAAAGAGGAGGAACCCTTTACAATAAAATATAAGTCCAAAAAATGGACCTCTCAAAAATTTTTCGACAACTTTTTTTCTAATTATTACTTGTACAATTTTGACAGGAGTAATCGGAGGTACAACTCTATAATTTAGCATCCCCCTCTACGTACAACTTTATAAATTAGCCTCCCCTTCTGCTTCCTCGCTCGGCCAAGGGTGCACACAGATCTGTGTCTGTCCATATATATGTGAAAGTACGTGAGCGTTTTGGCGGTTTGAGCCCCCACGCACACACCCTTATACGAATCCATATATTTTTCTTTGCCGCATGGGTTACACAAAATGATGAAACGTCTCACAGTTAAGTGAGGCATCTTGATGAATCTTTTTAATGTGAAACTCCACTGCAGCTATTCCGTTGCGTAACACTCGGGGCGCCACTGATTGTATGTACCCTCAATTTTGACAGACCCTTTTGTGTGCCTTTTACTTCAAAAAAGGAAGAAGAAAAGCTGCAATGCGCAACTCCGTTCATGTAGAACGTGCGCACAGGTTGGGGACGAAGCTGTCCTCTCTGTTTTTTCCATTTCATCAAACTAGCAGCGCACTATTTGGCCATAGCAGCAAGCACAAGTTCGCGTGAAAATCGCCTGACCGTTCAGGCAAGAAAAGGCTATTTTATTCTACGTTCTTAAAAAAAAAAAAAAAAAACAGCCAAAAAGAGCAACCACATGTGTGTATACACAGTTGAGAAGTTTTAAAATTGCAAAGGCACGTGTGCATTTCGGTTTTCCGCTTTTATTAAATAATGAAACAAAAGGTTTGACATTTTACTGATACGCAATTGTTATTTGTCCACTTAGTTGCTACCAGTTAGTCATTCAAGTTTGCCTCCTTGTGTCAGGTTTTCCGTATGTGCGTATTTTACTAACCAATCAGCAGTGCTACTTATTGGTCAACATACCAGATTAGCCGCCCATTTGCAACTTCAAGAGATATGTAATTTTTGTTTAGCAGCGTGGGTAACCTGTGGAGCATAAATATTTCTGCTCTGCGTACATCGTTTTTTTTTTTTTTTTTTATAATCAGATTAGTAGTTAGCTCTTCCACTGTACCGTGTGTGCGTTTTTTCTGATCAGTTAGAATGAAGAGAATTTTCTGCAACGACAGAATGGCAGCCTACAACTTTGATGCGTTATGATAGTGTGAACCCTATACCGTATATAATTTTAACTTGCGGGCATATACCATGTATTTTCTTTTTTTTTTTTTTTTAGTGGACAGCTTGCCGGAGTACATACCTATTTTAATGCCTGAACGTTCAGGTAAAAAAATAAAAAAAGCGAAAAAAAAAAAAATTACCTTCATCTACACAGTATTGCACACAGTTTAGGAAATTTCTTTTACATCTTTTTTTCGCTAGCTACATTTTTTCGTGTATTTTCATTGAGCTTATTACGTAATTTCGCTTTACCACTTTTTTAATTTGTTTATATTGTAATTTGGTCATCCGATTCATTTTTAACATTTTTTTTAAATTATCTCCACACTATTTTGTCACCATTTTTGCTCCTTTTTTTTTATACTTTCCATTGTGCGCTCTATAATAAGAAAAAATTAAAGTTAGACTTTTTTTTTCAAATCTGCATGTTCCAACAGTGGTCTATTTTGAAGTGTTTCAAAATGTCTTTCTGGGGGGCTGTATTTTGAAGCTGTAAATGTCCACATATCTGCTTTCCCGTCTGCTCACCCTTATCTAAGGCCGAGACACCAACTTTATACACTTCTCCGAGCCATACCACAAAATCGCGAAGCATGATCGGCTTGGGGATCCCGAGTTGAAGAGAGTCCTCGCACAGAATATATACGACAACGTAAAAAACAGCATCACCTATTTGGAAGAGGTATGTCACACAAAAATGAGCCCCATCTGCGCGCTCTAAAAAATTGGAAAATTAGCCGTGGCTAAAAAGTGACGAGCTCGGAAAAGACTTTTTCCATACATGCACAATTCGTTTCACCCAATTTTTCCATTCCATGTAGACTCAGTATAACCCTTGCGAGTGCAATAACTGCCGAAGCGACATAGCAGACGCGCCACTGGAAGACACAAAACTACGCAAGAGCGTCTTAATCCCCAAACTAGGTTACAAAGAAGAAAGTCCAAAGGCATGCGTTGAAGACACAGAAATCACCCCGAATAGCCTACAGCCTATAAGCGCAATCGAAGGCGAAACTTCTCTCCATCCCAAAACGTACAATATATTGAAGAACCAGAAGGATAGTTTAGAAATTCATCATAGCATTCCTCCTCTTAAGTGTGAAAGCTTCTCCGAGTTTACCCCCCGTAGTAGTCGTCCCCACCAGAAAAGTCAACATCTACCGAAAGAAGAAGACAAAATGAACAACCACAGATATGGAGAGTATTCCCCAATGAACGGATTTGGATACACCCACCACAACGACATGAATGCAAATGGGTTCTGCACAAACACGTATAATAGAGATCTTGCAAATTTAACCATGCAGCAACATAATATGCATGGAAGGAACAACCTCATGTTCGAAGATGGTAACATTCCATATGGTCTCTATGGACAGTCTAACTACACAGGAACAAATTCTCTCATGTGTGGAGGTAGTGCCCCTTTGAATGATCCCAAAATGATGTATAGAAGGAACCACGAAACGAAGGAGCCGTTTTATAATCCCTACCCGATGGGCAGTGGAATGGGTTACAACATGCCCTTCCTGCCCCCACAGGCATACTACCCAGGCATGAAACGGAATTTAGCGAAAGATGGATACACGCACGGGTGTCATTACATGAACAATGCGAGTAACAATGGTGCAATATCCAAATATCCTTCAGAAAGCGTCGCGGATAATTGTCCCAAAAAAGAATCGTACAGGAAAAACCAGTCCAAGGTGAAGAAGGGCGATATAGACATCAACATAGAAACGTCTTCCTCCACTCGAAAGGGGGTCATAATAGATTTGAACATCGGCGTGGGGAATTAGTGGAAGACATGGTGTGTAGCTGATTCCACGCGTCTCGATTGTTTTTTTTTTTTGTTTAACGCGTCGGCCCAGTGTCACTTCAATTTTCTCATGGCGTTGATCGAATGGACCTTTTTTTGTGAGTCTTTTCGCCCGCATTTTTGAATTCCTTTTTCTGTGATTCTTTTGGCCGTCACTTTGGATTGTCTTTTTTTGTGATTATTTTCGAAAAAGGCAATCCATTTTTTCTGTCCATTATGAATATCGACTAAGCCCTTAGCAGTTGTTTTTTTCTTAACTCACCTGTCAGAGGGGAGGAGAAGTGTACTTCACCCCGTCCTATGTTTTTCACGTCAGGAAAAGTAGTTAGCGTGTGTGTTGATCGCTTGTGGTGTTGATCAAATGTGTGCGGATGGTGTACAACAGAGAGGGTTGTTACCCTAAAAATTTGGCCACACTGAAGGGGGGGAATTTTAATACGGGTGAGCCCCCCTCCCTGGTCGAAGTAAAATAGTACTCCAAACGGATTTACCACCTGCTCGGTGGGGAACTAATCAAATGATCAAATTTCCTACGCTGATTTGGAAGTAGTGATTGGAGAAGGGGCCGTGGCACTATCCCACATGACGTGTAAACTTGCTCCGCTGTAATGGAGTTTTACTTCCCTTAGAAGGGAAATGGGTGTAGAGTTACATTTGTGTATATGTTCAAACGAGGGGGTAAAATCGATACTTGATTCAAATCGAAGTAGTCGATTCGAAGGGAAGAAAGAGAGCGCAGGCAAAGGAGGGCAACCGAGGAGAAAGAATAAAAAATGTTAAGTGGAAAAGATAAGAAATGTTAAGTGGAAAAAATAAGAAGTGTTAAGTGGAGAAAATATAGAGTATAAAAAAGGCCAGAAATTTCGGGCTACCCGAAATGGGGTGTACTCCCATTTGAGGTATAGTCCCATTTGAGGTACACTCCGATTAGGCGTCTTCCCCTCCATCTTCCGGCTCATCCTCACTGGACATAGAAAAGACTTCCACCTTGTCCTTTCTGGAGGGGCCTTCCTCCTCCGCAGTTTCGGTTGCGGTTGCAGTTGGCTTTTTGTTCTTTTTCTTCTTGTTCTTATTCTTTCCTTTATTGCCGCTTTTGTTGCTTTTTTTGATCTTGTTGTTCTTCATCTTCTTCGTGGTGCTACTGCTGGCGGCATGCTGATCTTCGCGTTTTCTTTTTTTGGCACATCGGTTGGAGGGAAGCTCCTCCTGATCGTCCTCCCTCTCATCTTCGTCACTGCCAGCTTCTTCATCCCCATCGGAGGAATGCTTAATATTCTCAAGCCCACTAATCCTGGCCTTGAGCTTCACCAAGCAGCTATTTTCATAATTCTCCAGAACGGAGAGTCTATGTCCAGAGAGAGGCAAGTTTTCATTTCCGAAAAAAATCATCTGATCATGCATAGAGTAGATATTCTTATTTTTTCTCTTGTTCTGAATAATGTCGATGGAATTTTTTGCCAAGAGGAGAAGATTCTTAATCTTCATTTTGAATGCATGTACTTTACACTCGGAGAAGTATCTTTTTAGAAAAGAATCTATAGCGAAGAAGAACTCCGGAAAGGAGATATGATGTACCATCAGTCCAACATAGTCACATAGAAGGACATATAATTTGTCATATACTTGGTGAGCTATGGAGAAGTCTGAAATTAATTTTTCGTCAATTTGGAGAGACGTGTTAATGTCAAAATTTTCGATGGTTAATCTGGTTTGTTGATTTTTACAAATGGTCCTGACATGCTGATAAGATTTTAATCCATTCAGGATGCACGTAAAATAGGAAAACAGAGGGATGTACTTTTTCTTATCTTCCATGATTCGAATTAGGAAGTGAAGGAGCTGCAAATTCACAGGCACATATTTCATGTTATTAATTTTGGTCTTCAAAATGGCGATTATTAAGACTGTCAATCCGTATGTTAGGATATCCAAATTGTGGCACTGTTTTATTATTTTAATTAGAAATCGGAGCAGGAGCATCATGTAGCTGCTGTGCAGGTGGAAGTTTCTAAAATCGATGAGGTTAACATATGTGGTGTTTCTCTTTCCTGCATCGCGGCTTCTCCCCTTTATTTGATGATCTCCTGTTTGCAGGTCCCCTTTCTTTCCATCCTCGTACGTGACTTTGAAGCCCTCCCTGATTTTCTGCATGACAGTTTGAATATACCGAAATGTGATGGTATATGCCACATCGTGGGAGAGCAACGTGAACAGCTCGATGAGGCAGTTCTCTTTAAAATTCATGTGATTTAGAAGGAGAACATTTTGGTAGTTACTCCCGTAATGGATTAAATATCTTTGCATCAGATTTTGGTACACCTCGAAGAGGAGCTTCTCCAATTGGTACGTCTTCTTAATCTCCTCCTTTTCGTTGCACTTCGAATTCGAAACACTGTTGTTATATATTATTTTTTTCTTCTCATTGTACAGGTGAACCATGTTTTGTATTAACAGGAAAAGGAAGAAGTAGACATCGTTTTTTTTCGACAGGATGAACATGGTGCCGATTTTTTTTAAAAAGTTCTTCCCCATGTTTAGTATTACTATCCATCTTAGGATGTTTTTTTTTTTCAAAATTTTGATTATCCCCGTGCAGACATCTTTGTTGCGTAGTTTCTTCATTCGACTAAGGAGATGCTTAAAGAAATGCACAATCAACAGTTTGTACCTTTCCAGGTGCTTGTAATTTGGCATACTCTCCAAAATCTGCATACTTTGGGCGCTTTCCGAATTCTTCGCGCTTTTCAGGTTGTCTCCTTTTTTCATCCCTTCCATGTCGCTGTCCTTCTCGAGGGTGCTATCCTCCTGGTACATCTCATTAGTTTTGATACTCTCCAAATTCCACACCCTTAGCTTGAGCGACCCCTCGTTTGTGATGTTGTAGAAGAGGGAGTCTATGTTGTACAACACATTGAAGACGGTGAAAATGGACGTATCGACATTCATCGAGTACTTCTTCCTTCTTCGGCTGCCCTCCCGTGTTTTTCCTCGCTTTTTTCCTCCCTTCTTCCCCCCTTTTGAGCCCTTTTTCTGCTTCTCCCGCGGATCTGCTTCGTCCGTCACTTCTCCCTTCCCCGGCATGCCGTCCTCGACCTCGTCATCCACGAACATGTTCAGAGCGTCGCGAAACATGGAGATCAGCTTCACCACTTTGCTCAACCTCGTCTTTTTGCTGACAGAATGGAGGAACGCCTCTACGTACGCTATATCGATCGGCTTCCCTTCCTTTTGGTCGTCGTCCTTATCAGCCACGTCCACCGATTCATGCTCTTCCGAGCTGGGCTCGCTCAACTCGTTCTTTCGGCAGAAGTTTTCCAGATTCGCTAAGTCGCTCTCACGGGAGGTGGCTTCGTCCCCAGAGATGCCTCCATCCCCAGAGATGCCTCCATCCCCAGAGCTGCCTTTGTCCCCAAAGCTACCGCCATCACTGCCATCGCTACCATCCTGCGGCGCGTCCTTCTTTCGGAGCTCCTTTTCCCGCCCCGCGGCTTTCGCTTTCCCATCTTGGAGGGATTTCTCTTTGAGCTCCTTTTTGTGGTGCTTCTTTCTATTGGGGGCATTCTTTTCCCCTTTAGCGTCTTTCTCCTTTTTTTTTTTTTTCTTTTTCTCCTTCGGGTGCGGTTCTGTCGACTGCGTGGGTGCCTCCACCTGCGAAGCCACCTCCGAGGCCACTTCCGCCCCCACTTCCGCCTTTTCCTCCAGGCCGTCTCCCGCGTCTCCGCTCATTTCGCGCGAGTCTCCTGTGGGTATATAAGTTCACGCCCGTATGTGTCACGATGCCTTCTTACTGGCGCGCTGAGAGGATTCTCCCCCTCAAATTCGTGGCGTTGGTACAGAAGCAAAATGGGGAAACAACGAGGCACATATATTCATCTACTTTTATGCTTCTTTTGCTACCCCTGTCCAAATTGGCGCCAACCGTGGTGGACTTCCCCTTTGGGGTATTTTCCCCTCTGTTGTGAAGGGAAGTCAAAGCCACGTTTTCACTTCCGCTTCAGCTCGCGATTCACAGTGGGGGCGAAGCCATAACGGTGTTAAAAGAAAGGGGCGATACAAATGAGTTTTAAAATCTTGGCACTTAAAGCAAGCTTATCTGCAGCTAGATCTGACTTGTTTTGGCTCAATTATCGAGCTGGATAGGCCAGTGCAACCGAAGGGGGGAAAATCTTAGCAGCTGTACGTTGTGGGCACTCGCAGCTAACCACAAAGTGGTAAAAAATACCCATCTGCAAATGGCTGCAGAAAAGGCAATACAACCAGGTGGAGATTATTATATTATCGCTGTTTTCTGTGCCTTGTATTTTCTTTTTTTTTTGTCCGTTTTTTCCTGTTTTTTTGTGTTTTTCTTTTTTTTTTTTTTTGGAACAATCTAGCAAAGTCGAGCAAAATGGGAATTTAAATTTTGCCTCTGATATTATTGAGGGAGTATTCTTTTCCTTTTCGTCTCTGTGTCGGATGTTCACATGAACTAAAAAACTGTTTGGCATCATGCCTGATGGAACCGCGCCAACTGCAGATGGGGCGAAGTTAAAAAGGCGTTGAACGTAGGGCCCATCAACCCGACGTGTTTATATATTATACCTCATATGACGCATCTCCACTGGGGCCCATTTGTATTCGCACCACCAGAAGGGAATGCGATGGCGCCGTTTTTTCTTTTTTTTTGCTGCAACTATTTGGGCCATCTTGCACCCCGCAGGATACGACACCGAAGGGCTAATGCCAACCTTGTGCGAAAATGAAGTAGGCTTTAAAATGGGTTTACATTAATATGTAAATACACCACGGTGGGGAAAAAAAAGGGGGAAAAAGGAAATCAACGCATTTTGGCGATTTTTTTTTTTTTTTTTTTTGCTGTATACCCCATGATCGTGTTCCTCTTTCCGAGCAAACCTTTTTGACATATTCGTAAGGGCGAGCGCATTTTCCACCATTTGGTGACATGAGCCAAGAAGGCGTAAAACAGGTTGCCCAATTTTAGAGCGAAACGCCGGTAAGCCTCTCGCCATCGGAAATGAACATGAAATGGCACATCCGAACGTCTTCTCCTCCCCCTCTACGATGTAAATAGGAATAAGAAGGAACAGTAAAACACCCTCAAATATGCGAGCACGTTGGCTCCAAAACACACAAAAAGGACACCCCGGACGAGCTACTCCCCCCTTGACAGAAAATATAAAATGATAATAATAATTGTCATATTGCTTCTTCTTTTATATCATATATGGAACAAGAAGAAGAATTACATCATCAACTTTTACTACATTAATTCGTTCATATGTTTTAACAAAACTAAGAAGATAAGCGACTTGAGGAAGGAAATGGGAGATTACCAAAAGTATTACAGCGACAGCTACTGAAGACAGTTCCGTCATAGGCAGGGGAAACAATCGTGCGGTTGTCACGGTCGTTTCTTTCTAAGCATCATGTTATATCGTATGTGTGTCAAGCGGAGGAACAGGTAAACAGGCGAAGAGTTCTTTTTTTTTTTTTTCTTTTCACCACCCTTTTGCTGCCCAAACGCATTCGTAAAAGAAGAAGGAAGAAGGGAGCTCATCTGCACTAATTCGCGCAGAATACCTACACGGAGAAAATATCCAAATTGAGCAGTTTTGGAGAGTTATTCTTTCCTATTCCAAGTTTTGGCACCCCGCGAGCAGTGGAAAGGGCTGTTTTTTGCACCCCCTCCCTCTGACCAAAAAAATTCAAGTCTTGAAGAACCGTTGAATGGACCGCTGTTATTACGCGGAACGTGTCCCCCTCATTTGTCCTTCGTCTGTGGCTGCACTAATATCCCCCTCTGTGCGTACATTCACTCTCCCCAACAGTTGCTCGCGCGAATGCCAAAGGGGGATACACATAATTAAAGATACACCGCAAACCAGTCACTTAGAGGTACGGCTAGTTCACTCTACCCCCCCTGGGCCTCTCTCCAAAGGATGTAACCCAGGATAGCGCAAAAATGAGTTCGCTAAAGTACATTGAGAACAGCATCAATTCCAACATCAGAGTGGACGGGAGGACGTTGTCAACCTACAGAACAGTCGAAATAAATAAGAACATTTTGGTATCAGCAGATGGAAGCAGCAGCGTCATGAATGAAGAGAACAATGTAATTTGCGGGATTAAGCTATGCCTTTTAACACCCAGTTTGGACGCACCGGACGAAGGGGTTATCAATCTTCAGATAGACTGCCCAGCATCGGTAGCTGCAAATAGAATAAAAAAAGATCATCTACAAATTATGTCATCAATTATTTACGACTTATGCATAAAAAACAATATTGACCGGAAGAAGCTGTGCATTTTACCATCCAAGTTTGTTTGGGGAGTTGACATAAGCGTTATGGTTTTAAATGCCGGAGGGGGATTATTGGACATCATCAGCATGGCCATCTATGTAGCCCTCAAGGATACCATCGTCCCCGTTGTGAAACCCAAAAGGGAAATCGACGAATCGGACACCTTTCACCATACAAAATGTGCAGACTACCAAGTAGAAATTGTTGAAAATCAGAAGACGAATTTTCCGTACGAAAATGTACCCATATGTGTCTCCATAGGAGAAATAAACAACAAATATGTGTACGATATGTCTAAGGTGGAAGAAGAGTTAGTTGAAAATATTTTCGTTGTCGCCGTTACTTCAAGTGGGAAGTGTGTAGCATTTCATAAGTTATATGGCATATCTATGGAGATCGCTTCCATACTAAATATGACGGAAAATTCGTCCAAAATTTCGCATCAACTTTTTGAGAAAATTAATGAGGCGATTTCGAAAATACAAAGCAGAAGTGTCCTTGTGTAGGGTGGATAAAAAAAAAGGGGGTAACGTTTATTCGGGAGTTATTATGCCTCGCCCCGGTTGGGTGTAAGTATCGTTAATCCGCCGAGCCAAGTTTGTATACACGAAATAGTTAGCTACACAGGGCTCCCCATTTTAGCCCACTCATTTTTACCAAGTTGGTATCATTCGTTGTGAGATTCACCGTTTGGCTAGCACCTTTTGATTTTTTTTTTTTTAAATCACGGCTTATATAGGACGTGGTGATAAAAAAGAAATTCTTCTAAAAAAATATCTGTAAAAAAAAAAATTCTTCTAAGAAAATGTTGTAAAAAAATAGCTAGTCGCCCTCGAACAGAGAGCTCACCACACATTTTGCCTGAACAACACCGCGCATACGTTGACCGTTGTTCTCACGGCGCATACGTTGACCGTTGTCATTACCGTGCAAACATTAAACTCTTAAACGTATGAACGAGTCAGAACATAGCTGCACTCTTTTACCGGGAGCTAGCCCGCTAACCATAAATGTGCAACGCAAAACAGGAAAAAAAAAAAAAAATATTCAGCCAAAGGTAAAAATCAACGTGTGTGAAATGTTTCATCTTTTGAAAGTTCACAAATATATATTTAGCACACGATTTAAAAAGAACATGATTAAGAAATTTGATGCAGCCGCAAGTATCACTTAAAAGATATGTATCTATTTGTTTCTCACGCACATAAGTATAAATTTAATCTACTCTCATGTGAGAAATGCTTCTCAGATTTAATCTTGTTTCATTTGTAACCCGTCCATACATAGGTACACATGCGTGTCTATGCGTTTGTATCTCTTTTTTTTTGATGTCTTTTTTTTTTCTTTTTTTCCTTAAATTTCCACGCGTTTTCCACGTCTTTTCACCCAATTTTGACCCACATCGCAAAAAAAATAATTCGCAAACCTTCAAGGCCATGTTTAACGGCTTTCACACCCTTCAGGGAGAAAAAAAACAACAATAACAACATACATTTTTTTCCTACAAAATTAACCCTCTTTTTGAGAAGCTTTTCCAGTAGTCGCTACAATGAAGAAAAGCTTGATCGCAATTTTTGCCTGCCCACTGATCTTTAACGCTGCGTATTCCTTAAGTCTAAGCGGCGTGAATGAAAATTTTTCTGACCATTTGACCAGGGATAATAGTGACGAAAATGGCAATTTAAATTTAATGCAAAATAGCCTTCCTCACAGAACTAAACGACGGTATAGCAGCAATTTAAGCAATGAATCAGATAGTGTCATGCAACCCGGTGAAATGCGCAGAGACAGTTCTGTATATTTAGATTTCACATCTCATAATGCACATTCAGAAGGAGATTCTTCATCCAATGCTTCTGGTGCTGCGGTAGGTAAAGGCAGAAATACCTTCCAAAGCTCACACAAAACTACACCAAGTAGCACAGAACAAGAAGCTGTGAATGATAGCACCCATCAGAGGGCAAAAACGCACCGTAAGTACACCACTTGGACTACAAGAGGTGAAAAACAAGAAAAAGCACGTTCTGTTCGAAGTAGAAATGATGTTAAAAGGAACGGGACTGGGATGGGATTATCTAGGAAAGATGCCACACACAGCAAGCTTCAACTAACCAATTTTGAAGACGACGTGGTTGAAAGTGGGGATGAAGGCGATGATTTCTCAAAAACGGATGCTGACTTAGGTGATGACTCCATCGACAATATGTTCGACGGTGACGACATGTCCGACTATTTGTCTGGCGATGACAACACGTCCGACTATTCGTTTGGCGGTGACGACATGTCCGACAATTTGTCTGGCGGTAACGACATGTCCGACTATTTGTCTCGCGATGACAACACGTCCGACTATTCGTTTGGCGGTGACGACACGTCGGACTATTCGTTTGGCGGTGACGACACGTCCGACTATTCTTTTGGCGGCGATGATGACTTAGGTAGCGATTCCGCCGATAATCTGTCTAGCGACGAGGGGGATAGTTTGATGAACACCGATGATGACTTAGGTGATGATTCTGTTGACAATCTTCTTAACAGTGAAGAGGATAACTTGATGGACGATGCTGCGGACAATTTGCTAAACGACGAAGATAGCGACAGCTTGCTGGATGCCGTCGAAGGTGACCTCGGCGAAGGATCAGTGGATAATTTATTCAGCGATGAAGGGAGCAGTTTGATGCAAATTGATGATGATTTAGGTGACAATTCTGCAGATAATTTGTTCAGCGATGAGGAAGACAGGCTGGTGCAGACCGGTACTGAAAAGATTGACAACGATTTTGCGGATAATTTTCTAAGCGCGGAAGATGGCGACAGTTTGATGGATCCCACCCAAGATGATCTTGGTGATGGCTCCATCGACCATTTGTTTACCGATGACATCGATAGCGGCGGTAATTCATTTAGCATCCGGAGTGGAGATCTAGGTGGAGATCTAGGTGGAGATCTAGGTGACGATCTAGGTGACGATATACGTGGCGACAATTTACTTAAGGATGGTCACTACGAGTCAGATAATAGCGGAGACGCCTCACTTGACGACGCTGCGGAAGATTCTTTAACTGATGAGGAAGACGTGTTAGGCGGAATTCGGGATGACCTACCCCTTGATGATCCATTGGATAATGTGCGTTCTACATACAGTAGAGGTAGCAGCAGCTTGCATACATATGACAAGAATAATTCGATAAGTAACGACTTATTGCATACAACGGCGGATGCCAGCGCGTACAAGGAGTTAGACGGAAGAAAGGATGTGGATGTAAGTGAAGCGACTAATTATAGGAACAAGAAAGGAGACCCTTCTGTAAAGAACAAAAAGGGCGTCTTCATGGATAATCCGAATTTATCTCACGAAATGGGGGAAAATGCCAAATCTGATCTTAGGGGGGATGCCCAACTTAGGAACAAAAGCGAAGTAGTCGTGATAGATCCATCACTCTCTAGTAGCAGAAAGGAAAACCTCGAGGAAGCAAAAAATGATAATATGCTGAACTCCAAGCAGACAAACCGTTCTGCCACCACAATGGATTCAAAGGAGAGGGATAATTCCGCAGGCACTTCAAGCGGTAGCAATGGAGCGAATGCCCTAGCAGAACCCTCTTCTAAGAAATTGGCAAATAGTGGCCAAGCCGACCCTAATGGTGCGTTGAGCTTGAAGAGTAAGACGGATCCCGCGGAGAGGAGCGCACCAGAATCGCCAAAGGGAAGCAAAAGGGACAACAAAAAGGAGAGTGTCGAAGGTGCAGTAAGCAAGAGGGATAAGGAAAAGGGAAAGAGCACCAAAAAGGACAGTGAAAAGGGGACTATCAAAGGTGCTGTAAGAAAGAGTGATAAGGAAAAACAAAAGGGCAGCAAAAAGGACAGCAAAAAAGACAGCAGGAAGGAGAGTGTCCAAGGTGCACTAAAAAAGAGCGATAAGGAGAAACCAAAAAAAACCAAAAAGGGAACCAAAGAGGACACCAAAAAGGACATTGTCAAAGGTTCACTAAGCACGAGGGATGAGGAAAAGCCAAACAGCAGCAAAAAGGACACCAAAAAGGACAGCAAGAAAAAACCCACTGCTTATAAAAATCCAGATAATAGCCACAGTGGCACTAATGGTACAGGGAATAGTAACCGAAAGAATGATTCAAGGGGAAGGCCTAGAGTTGAAAAGGAATCCACTCGCCAGGAAAAGGTAAGCACCAGCAGCAACAACAACAACAGCAGCAATAGCGGTCGTGTCCAAACGAATAAGGGGAAGAAAACTGACGCAGAAGGAAAGGCCATTACCATAAAGGAGAATAACTCGAAGGCCACGGAAAAAAATACAGTGAAGAATAAGGACGAGTCTAACGGAGAAGGAAACTCAACACCCCCCGTCGAAAGGAGTGGTACCAGCGTGGGCGTCACTACTAAGGAGGAATCACACATTGCGCAAACACCCCCATTAGACAGCGTTAATGAAAGGGATAATGAAGGAGAGCAAAACGCGAAGGAAAAAAACAATTCTGCAGATGCATCAAGCGCCGTACGGGATAGCGACACTGAAATTAGCAGCAACCGTGGGGACTACGTCTCAAAGGAACCCCCAAAAGAGCAGAACGTGCTGCCGACCCCCATCGGTGAAACCATAAACATAAAGATAATAACCAACCCTAAATATGAAGTAAATCAAACGGAGGAGAAAGAAAAGAAGAAGCGTGATACTCATCCCAAAGTTAGGGGAAAAAAGAATCGATCTTCGTCCAAAAGAAGGAGTGGAAGAAGGTACAAAGTAGACAGGGGAGAAACCCGGAAGGATGACTTGACCAGAAGTGGAAATTTAGGAAGTGCGAAATGGAGTGAAGATTCGCCAGAAGGAGGAAGGGATGTGGATCCTAATGTGGACGTCCATGTGGGAAGCAGGGCAGATCAGGGTGGTAAAGCCACTTCACCTGAAGGGGGTGCACACAGTCGAAGCGAAAGCCCATCGGAGATGTCCGTCTCAATAGAATTGCCGCCAGGATTGAGTGAAGTCAAGAAGACAGAAGCGGTTATGATCCCAGAGAGGGAAAGTGCGGAGGAGGAAAAAGAATTAAGAGGAAGCTTTCTCCAGATGAGCGCAGAAAATGGTCACCATGCGGACGAAGCAGGCGAGAATACGAATGAAACAAACGACAATATCGACGAAGCGAATGGTGATCCCCAAGACGAACTCATCCTAGAAAAGGTGAGGGAAGATAAAAACCTAGAACGTTTCGGAGAAGGAGAAACTGTAGAAGATATAACATCAATAGATCCTCCCCTAATTAGGAGGAAAAAAAATATAGTAAAAAATTCACGTAAGGTGTATGATTTAAATCTGTATAACTGTACCTTTATAGAGGACTGGGATTTGAATCGTGAATACATGGATGAAGAAGGTTCTTTGGTGAAGTTAAGTGGCTATGTTTTCCAGAACATGGTGAATTCGGATCTTATGCCCACGGCAAATATAACCGACTGGAAGTTAAAAGGATCATGCGATTACGATAAATATGTGTGTGGCGCTTTGGGCTACATGAATAATGTGTACAGCAAGGGAGAACGGGTTATATTTGAGGGTCGAGTGTACGAGGCAACCAGCGATGCGTACGGAACTCCCAGAGAGATGGAGAATGTGTGGGTGGAGAAGACGAATGACTGTTACGATTTTTAAGACGTCACGGATTAGAAGGTGGACAAAGGTTTGGAAGGGAATATAAGATGCCACCTCCAGAGGGGGAGAGGCATTCTTTGCGCGCACGCACTAATAATCTGTTGCTGCTGCGATGGAGTACTTTGATTCTACTACGTTCTCCCCCCCGTCGCGCAGTACCTTTTTCCGCGTCTTTCCCTCGATATACACGCCTTTAACGTTCATCCGAGGCGATGAGTTGGATTAGGTGTGTAAATAACGATATCGCTCCATTTAAGCCACGTTGCAAATGATAGCACGAGGTTGTCCCCTTTGGTCTGAGCCATAAGGGGACCCCGCCCGTCTGTGTTCATCTGCTAACTGTGCATATATACGTATGTCCTTTTTTACCAGCCCACGTTCAGTGTGGCGCAAAAACTGATTAGCCGAAGTGAGCTTCGCGCAACTGAACAATTCCGTTGTAGCATTTTACTAAACACTATCGAGCGGGGGAGCTCTTCCCCCATCGGTTCTCTACATGCAGAAAAGGTACCCGTTTAAGGACAGTTAGATACTTTTCAATCCTGCCTTCCATCACCAGGTGAAGCTTTTCCGTGAGAGTGTATTAATAGGTAAGGTTGGTTACATCATAGGGTTAGGGTTAGCGTTAGGGGGAGAGGGTGTTTGTGTTCCTTTTCCCCAGACCAGTGCTTCTTTTTTTTTTCTTTTTTGTTCCCCCCCAGACATACATCTAGTTATAATTGCAGAGGATGCACCTATCTGAGTAAGCATGGAAATTTCCACAGCGTAAGAATTGCTGTTATGCTTTCCTGATAGCACAAATTGTGGGCTGACTTGCTCAAGTTGTAACTCCTAAGGGGAGTCCGAAGCTCCGAGGAGGAAATTCTCCTTAATTCAAAAAAAAAAAAAAAAAACGAATAGGAGTTTTTAATTGATACTGCATGGTGAGGAAGGGGGACACATTGGGATGAATTAGGGAAGAAGAAGAAAAAAAAAACACACATACACACAGATCTTTGTGTGTATTCGAATTGGGACAAAGGGGGGAAAAGGGGGTATGGAATAAACGAATTCATAACTTCGAATAAGTTATGTGGTCATCCGAATGGAGATATGACCAGTGATCATCTGTTTGGTATTTTCGACGTGGCTCCACACAGGGACGTAGCTCCACACAGTGACGTAGCTCCACACAGGGACGTAGCTCCACACGGGGACGTAGCTCCACACAGTGACGTGGCTCTACAGATAGATAATCATTCCAGATTACACCTCACATGTGAACCGTGTCGCTCGGCACAGTCATATAGAGGACACCTTCGAGTGCGAAAAGATGTCCAAAAAAAGCGGGTCATTCTTAATCTGACTGAAGGTGCCAATGGAGCGTATCCTCCCTTCATCGACGATGATTATTTTATCCATCTGGTGTAATATATTCACAGAGTGGGTGACGTAAATGATTGTCTTATTAGGTATTATCGTATTAATTAGATTGTGTACTCTTTCTACGTTGGACTCATCCAGAAATGATGTGATTTCATCGAACACATAAATTGGGGTGTCTTTTATTAAAGATCGGATGAGGGATATTCTTTGTCTCTGTCCGGATGACATGGCATTGTTCTGGATACTCGTGTGAACATGTTCTGGTAGGGAGCGTATGAACTGAGTCAAATCTAACTCTTCGCATAGTTCACTTAGGGTTTCGTTTATGAGGCTTAATTTGTCTTGCCCGTACTCCTGGAGAAGGGCGTAATTGGCTAGGTCCTTTCTCTGGGCTGCCTCACCTCTTCGAGTTATTTTGCCCTCTCCCGGGGGGGTGTTCGACGGGTTGGACGTATTGGCCGTGTCGCAGGTTTCGCTGTGGTTGTGGGCTCCTTCGTCTGGCTTTGCATCTGGTGCGACTTCTCCTTCCTTCGGGAGAGACGACTGATCGTTGCGGATCCGCCCTGTGAGACCACGACGCGACTCTTCTCTTCCCATGGTGATAACTTTTGGCAAATTCCGCTTGCCCTCAATTTTTACGGGCAACAGGGCGTATATTAAATTTTCGTACAGAGACCTATTCAGGACGCAGCAGTCCTGCTCACTAACCGATATGATGCATTTTTTAAAATAAGTTCTGTTTATATCTTTTAAGTCATACCCGTCAATGTATATGTTCCCCTGGTAGTCGTAATCCGTGGTGAGGAGCTTCCACAGGGTGGACTTTCCCGACCCGCTCTTACCTATGATGGCTACCTTCTCCTTTTCTTTTATTTCGAGGTTTATGTTTTTTAGCACATCCTTCCTTTTGGTGGCATCGAATGCGTTGTAGGCGAAGTGCACGTTTTCGAATTTGAGGCTTCCGCGGAGGATTCTTGGACACGGATCAGCAATGGGGGATTTCTCTCCCCTATTCACCTCACCAATGGGGGGGGTGCCTCCTATTCGGCCTTCCATCTGAATAGAAGCCTTCCCCTTCTCTTTTAGTGTCTTCCCACCCCGTTCTGCATTTCTCATCGGCGTGAAGTCCACAATTTCGTAAATCTTCTCTAGACTTATCTGTAGAGCGCCGAGATCCTTTTTCAATTTTAACATGCCGACAATCCCTAACCCTAACATGCTGGAGAAGACAATGAAGGAGACCAGTTGGCCATGGGTGATATTCCTCTTGTTCAGTTCGCTTCTTCCAAAGCAAAGGATAGAGCAGATAACAATGTTGCTTCCTATATTGAGGAAGGAATAAAATAGGGACTCCCAATTTGTGTACCTCTCATTTAGTCTGTTCATGTATTTTAAGTTTTTACAAAAAAAGCGATTTTCATAATAATCATTTCCAAAAAAGGATATGACATTTTTTTTCTGTAAAATGTCTGACAATCTAGCCATTTGTTTTTCTTCACAATTGGATGCCTTCATCTTAATACTTTTGAGTTTTCTCAAAATCAGAAGGACGAGAAACCCGTACGTGGGCACAACGAAGACACACAGTTTGGTCAAATAGGGAGATATGCATATCATCGAGATGCTTCCCCCGAGGATGGAGTTACCATAACGCACCATTTGTGTGATAGACGTAATCAGATGTTTGGCAGAAAAATTTATTTCGTTAAAAAGGCAATTGACGAGATAGTCTGGCGATTTATGCGATTTAGATTTTTCACTATTTTGCGTAATGATCGTTTTGTGTACTCGCCGTTTCAGTCGGTTCTCCACCTTCTTAATGCACTTGTTTGTGAAGTATATTCTGAAGTAGGACGCCACGCCTCCGCAGATGAAGTATGGTAGGAAGCAGAAGACGCCGTGCGCGCCTCTGTCCGGGGTACCCAGGAACATTCTGTTTAACATTTTGGTCTTCTGCAGAAGGGTCATCAGAAAGTTGCACTTGGTGGGGGCCCCAATGCCGCTTCCGCCGCAAACAGCGCTAACTGCGGTTACACCCCCCTCTGCGAGATTGGCCGTCTCGACGCACTGTCCCATAATCTTCGGGTAACTCAAATTCGTATACGCATTGATTGCTAAAAATGCCAAGGCGATGATGAGTAGCGTCTTTTCCCCTTTCGTCATGTCGGCTACCGCCCTTAGAAGGAAATTATTTTTTCCTTTTTCGTCTCCCCCCTTCGCGGGTGCACCTTCGTCTGCTCCTCCATCTTTGGCTTCATCCTTGCGCGAGCTGTCTTGGCCATGAATTGAAAACATCGGGTAGATTCTATTCAGGATTTTTCCGAGCGCCCCCTGGGCCTCCTTGCCCTTCCGCAGCGCGTTGCCCATGTTGCGCGTGTAGCGGCAGCTATGGCTGCTTCAGCTGCGAGGCAGAGTTGAAGCCACTCCACGTAAGTCCCTGTTGGGTGAGGTTTCGAGCCACTTCACATGTGTCGCTGTTGGGTCGAGTTTGAAGCCACACCACCTACTTCCCTACCTCTTCCGTCGCTTATTCCGGTGCTTCCCTCGCTGCTACCCCCGTTGACACACAAACTTGTCCAGCAGGATGTTCAACCAAAAAATGGCCGAAGTAATTCACATGATAAATGAGCATGCAGCCGTGTATGCTTCTTCATGTAGAACACTTTTTCAGGCAAAACTGGAAAGGGGGAGAGTACCCATATGGGGGTGGAAATTAAATAGTCCCAAAGGGGTACAGCCGACATAACACTCCTGTGGGGGTGGAACATACACAAAAACAAAAAAAAAAACGAGGAAACAAAAAGAAGCAACAAAATGAAGCAACAACAAAAAAAACGAAAAAATTCGAAACGCAGAAATGTGAACAGGGAACGGGCCAACTGCATAGGCACACTTTTCCTACCGCGCTTGTACCGATTAGCGCAACTTATGTGAAAAAAAAAAAAAAAAGAAAAAAAAAAAACGGAGTTTTCGAAAAAAAAATCTTTCACTTGGTAGAGGGACATAAAAATGGGCTACACAGAGTGTAAGGTATGACTTTATCCAGAGAGTCAGAATTATGATCATTTTTAAAACTACGTTGGAGAAGGAATTCACATTTTTTTTTTTTTTTTTACATTTCTTCCAAACATTCCGCGCTTCTTTTCCTAAGTAACAATTTTCCCCTTTTACCTCCCCTCACCCTCGTTTGAGTGATGCTATTAGTGAAAATTTGAGCAGGTTAGTACCCCCACAAATATGCCCTTAGCGCATGTTGCCATGCCCTCATTTAATGATAAAACAAAGGAATATCACACATGTGCGTGTGATTAATTTTCCCATTTGCAGCGATGACCATTTGTTCGGCTCCCCTCCGAATGATAGAAGACCGCTCCTCCCGCGCCTCTTTCCCACGGGCATCACTTCCAGCTTCAGTGATGCACGAAAATAGGAAGGTGTGAACATTCCCATTGCTTCTATTTAAGCGCCCGTTAAGTGTCCAAACGGAGTAATACCCCTCCTAGCAAAAGGAAAAAAATCGCAGTCAGGCCGCATTGCCCACGCGTCAACGGTGTTTAATGCATTGAAACACACTCGCATGGGTGCACTTCTACACATGTGTGCCGATAAAAATACACCCCACTCTGTACATAATCAGTGTCCCGCGTGAAGTGCTTTTTTGGCGGGGAGGTCCTCACCTTCACACAACGCACACGGTTCGAAGTATCCCCAGAAATTCCTTCTCCGCGGAGCAAGTGAAATCGTGAAGGGAGATAACACAGAGGGGCGTTCCCCACAGGTACACAACAACTCGCAGGGTTAAAGGTACCCCGCTGGTAGTAACCCCGTTGACAACCGCCTCGCCGCCTCTCCACACAGCATCCCAGAATGGCGGAGAAGGAAGCGAAAAAGGAAGCTATCGAAATAATTTACGAAATTTCAAACATCCTAAACGTGAACTTGGACAAAGAAACGATCGTTATTTTGATCCAGTTATGTGAGTATGGAGTGAGCCCCAAGGTGCTCTCGCACATAATTATTCAGTTGAAGAAGGAAAAGCAGAAGTTCCTCCAAAATGTGAGTAAAAACATGGGAAATCTCAAGCAGGGCAATGCGTAGCCAAGTTCCCCTGGCGCGTTAGCAGTTGTCTATTTTTACACGCCTGTGTTTGTACGAATGGACCCTGATGCAGACACTCAAGGGATACGCTCCCGCGGAGGCGAAGGAGATGTGAAGCAGACGTGGGGGTGATACTGCCAACCTGTGTAGCCTCCATTTTTTTTAAAACCTTAACTTGACAACGTTCCTGCCTCTTTGGAAAATGACGCACATATTTCTTCCCACCATTTCTCCGCGTGACCATTATAATTTTTTTTTTGTGTAATCTTTTGGCAAATTCTGTCACGAACTTTTTGCTATTCTTTTTTCCATACGTCACTGTCAATACTAACACTGCTTATAAAGGAGAAAAGACGAATGGTGAGAAATGACCGAGGGTGGGAAAACTTGATCAGCGCAAAATGGCAACTCGCGGAGAGGTTTGCCAAAGGGGGTGGGGGGAAAAAAAAGGGACAAGTTCGCACGTTGCGAATGTTTTTGTGAAGATACTTCGTAAATGTACTTTGCAAATACACTTCGTTTCATTCTGCTTTGGTATGCTTTTATTTTTTTCCCCCCATTCCCATCGTTCTTTGGAAAAAAAAAAAACCAAGCGCATCCCTGGGTGTACAACTCGCACGTCAAGGGGACCATGTGCATGCTGCTGTGTGACCATACATACATAATGCGGTGGAGCGGCAAAGTAACGAAGTGGCGACAAAAAAAGGAAGGAAAAGGGAACAAATCGGAAGAAGCAAAACGATTTTCCCCTCAACTTCAGCCATGCCGCGCACGGAAAGTGCAAAAAGTGTATCCCGGAATTAGTCCCCCCCGCGATTTGGAAAATCGGAAAAAAAAAAGTCGGCAAACGGGTAAGCAGTTAGGCCGCCGGAGAAGTACCAAACCGAAAAACACGTCCCCCTTTTTATACGCGAGCGGGAGAAACTTTGTCCTAAATTCGTGACAAATGAGCATAAATGTGTTCCAACTGCAGACTTTTTTTTTTTTTTTCTTGTTCTGGAGCAGAGAATATTTCCTTGTTCTGGTTACACCCTCGACAGGGAAGGAAAAAAAAAAAAGCAAAACGAAATGACAAAAATGTGTACTGAAAAAGGATAGTTTTATTCCTTTTTCGGCGCGTTTTGGATCCCCTGTTTTGTATCTCTCGTTTTGCATCCCCCGTTTTGAATTCTCCGTTTTGCCTACTTGTTTGTAATTTTTTTTTTTTGTTCTCATCATTTGCGCGAACTAGACCGCTTAGCGAAAGGATTCGTCCATACGGCCATCTACGCTGCAATCCTCACCGCCGCTACAATCACCATCCACACGGCACCCCCCTCGCCCATCGCAACGCGGGATGGAGAACTACGAGTCTCCCTCCGAAGTTTTAAAGAAAAAGGGAAAAATCGAGCAAGGAGACAAGGTAAAGGAGAAAAAAGACAAACTAAAATTCATCGACATATTTAACGACAGCAATGACGCAGAGAAGAGTGATAATAAAATTGAGAAATTTTTGAAAAAAAAAAAAATAACTGAAAGTAGAAGGAAGGCAAAGAATAAAAACGTGTATCTTTTGGAAGGCCCACCAAATGTGTACGCCACCGATTTGGTGAGCTCCAGTTTTGCCAGTTCCAGTGTGGCCAACTCTGGTACCCCCGACGTAGAGAAAAACATCCCTGGGACGAACAGCATCCAGCGAAGCACAAATCTGCTGAACAATTTAAGCATTTTTGCCAATGAAGGAGAGCAGAATCATGGCTATCTCGTTAATGAGATTTATCGGCTGAAAGCCGAAGTGGAAGAAGAGAAACAAAAAGGGTGCCGGACAAATGAGGAGACAAAACTGTTGAAGGAAAAAAATGACATACTCAGTAAGAGCATCAGTGATATGAAGATCGAAATGGAAAAACTCCAAAATATTTACGACGAGGAAGTTGTCAAAATAAAAGAGTCGTACGAAAGGCGCCTGCTAATTTTTCAGACCGAACTGGAGGAAAAGGAAAATTATTTTAAGAAGCAGAAGGAGGCCCATCGAGAGGAATTCGAGTCTCAACTGGAGGAGTACAAGACTATGTACCACAATGAGAAAAGAAAAAGTCAAGACAGGGAAAGACTCATCGAGGAGGCAGCCATCGAACGGGATAGACTCACCAAAGAGGCTGCCATCGAACGGGATAGACTCAGCAAAGCGGCTGACGCTGAATTAGAACATCTCCAAAACCGTGTAACCCAAATGAGCGAACGGGAAAAAGACCTAACACAGTGCCTGAATGAAGAGAAGGAAAAAAGTGAAGAAATCAAAACGCAAGCAGAGAAGTACAAACAGGAAGCAGAGAAATACAAAGAGGAAGCAGAGAAGTACAAACAGGAAGCAGAGAAATACAAAGAGGAAGCAGAGAAATACAAACAGCAAGTTCTCAATCTGAACGAAATAATTAGCAAAAAAAATGAAAACATTAAAAATATGGTTAATGATATCCTTTTGGTGAAAAATGTATATGACGAGCTAGCCAAGGAGAAGGAACTGAACGAATTAGGAAAAAAGAAACTCGTCAAAAAAATCGATACGTACGAGAAGGATTTGCATTATTTAAAAAACAACATGGAAGGATACAGAGTGAACAATGATAAGTTGAGGAAGTGCAACCAGGAATTGAATGAGCGAGCGAGGAAATTGGAATGTCAGATTCGTAGTCTTCAGAACGAAAATGAATTTTTAAAGAAAGAAAATCTTCTTTTTAACAAAAAGTTTCTGAATGTAAAAAGGGAGAAAAAGATAGAGCAGCTGAACTACTTCTCCGACTCGACGGATGTCAAGGATGAGGAGCCTAGTGCGGACAGTAGTGGGGAGGGAAACAACTCGTTAGTGTCTCGCAAAGATGACGTGCAAGTCAAAGAAGTGAAGTTGATGGGACAAGCCAACGAGATAAGAAAAGTGAAACATGCGAGTGGTGAACACAGCGCTGACGAAGACAAGTGTACCAAGCGGAAGAAGAAAAAAAACAAGAAAAATGTTTTAAAGAAGAAAAAAAAAAATTTTGCAAAAGTTGTAAAAAGGGGCGAGAAAGGGGCAGGTAGAAGTGATAGTAGTGGCGATGGTGACAGCGACGGTGATAGTGACCATTGCGGTGAGGACGGGGAAGGCGCCTCCTCCATCGGGGAGGATCGCCCCGTAGAACCAACGTGCGCGCTGAGCCTGCTGACGACAACCGGTCGCGGAAAACGGAAAGACGCCCGGGGGAAGAAAAAGGGCAGCATCAGTGGAACCCCAAGAGGAAAAAACGAATCAGGCGAATCAGGTGAAGCAAGCGAATCAGACAAGTCAGATGCAGGAGGCGAATTGAACGAATCAGACGAAGCAGGTGAAGCCAACCTCAGCACCCTAAGCCGAGTAGAAAGCAAACCCAACTCTGCATGCTGTTCAGAAAAGGAAGTACACCTGTCCGATATGAGGCGCAGCATAGGCAATTTAGTAATCGGAAAAAAACTGAAGGGAAATACCATCGGACCAAATTACGAAGAAGTTGGAACTGCAGGCCGATTCGATATGATCTCTAAATTTTTGCAGAACGGTTCAAAAGATGAAAAGAAAAAAAAAAAAAAAAAAGAAAAAGAGAAAGAGAAAGAAAAAAGAACGTACGATTATAGTAAGACAAATTTTAGTGCCACCAGTTTGGGCAGCTCCAAAATGTTCAATAAAGACCTAGGCAGTAACAGATATCTTTTCGATCTGAATCTCTACAGCTTAAAAAGGTATAATATCTTCAGCTTCAGCAATGGGGTATTCCCCCAAAGTGGAGAATACAATTTGACGGACCTGGTGCGCAAGAAAAGGAGCTGTCCAGCGCGAATGGGCCATTTGGACGACGTGGACAATTTGGACAAAATGCCCAATTTGCATATGAGTACAAACAACACTTGGCGCAGCCGAACGGAGGGGTTGTATCGCGCGCTGAGGGATTCCTCCTGCGGCGGAGCCAATGGGGGGGAAGAGGCAGACAGTGTTGAAGCTTCTCCCCGCGCGAGAATCCTCCAAGGAGGTGCCAACTCTGAAAATCACACAAACGATGACATGGAGAGAAACAAAACAATCGACTACTTCTTATCTAACATAAAAAAAGGAAAGAAACATTCGAACGAATTTGCGATGAAGGGAACAACGACTCGTCTGCAAAAACTCCTCAGTGGACGTGACTCCTCTAGCGGGTCGTGCCAAATGGGGAAAGGGCAGATGGTAAGCAAGTTGCTGAGGAGGAAACAACCCGTCGAATGCGAACAAAGCGATCACCATGGTAGTGCCGTGCACAGTGGCGGCATCCACAGCGTAGGCGACACTACCGCTAACGAACTTGGGCGATATAGGAACCACCTCCGGGAAGATCACCGCGACATGCAGTCCTACCTCCTAAGCAAGTGCAAAGGAAAAAACAACATATACGGCTTGTTCATCATAAACGAACGTCTAAAGAGCATCTACAAAAATATAGCAAACAAAAGAAAGTCAATTAGCAACTTTCCAGTGAGTATGCCAAAGATTGAAAATCAGAAACAGTTTAGTAGTTCCTTTGACATCATACATAGGGGAAAGGTTCTTCCTGAGGTGGAGGAAAACACTTCCATGGTGGTCCCCCTTGGGTGTAAAAAAAATGCACACGAAATGGTCCCTCCTTTTGAGCATAGAGGAGGAGAGTCCAACGGATTGAATGCTGCTCTACAGAAGGGTCAAATAAAGAGGGAACTTCCATTGGGCGATGAAACGAAGGGAACGAGTTTCACCTCCGCAAATAGATTAACAGAACAGACGCGTAGTGCAGGAAGTGCCTTTGTAGTCTCTGGAGAAGATCCCCTTTCAACGGACGAGAAACAAATGGGAAAAAATCTCCTTTTGGAAAATTCAAGAAATATGAACAGGGTAGGAAAAAAAGGGGAACCCAGTTACACACAGGAGGAAAATGACGAGGAGGGAATCTTTTTAAAAAAAAAAAATTACCTCGGAGAGGGCCACTCTATTTCGGTTATGTTTGATAAGAATCAGCCATCAACGGGGGGATACCTCCCGTCAAATGAGTCCCATTCGATAGTAGCAACAAACGGGGGAGAGACACACGTGCGTGGAGTGGATGGTGAAACCCTCCGTTCCATGGCATGGCATCCTTTGTACCAGGAGGGCATGGAAAAATGCGTTTCGTTCGTACAAGTGCGCAGGAAAGTGCGTCAGGAGGGACAGGACAAAGTTGGAAGAGGACCTGGGAGTGAGGGTCCTCCACCTCGAGAACGTCTGTCCTATCGCGATGGACCAGTTCATCACGATGGATCGGCTCTTCACGCGAACGAACTAAGAGACAACGAATTTGCAAACCACCTCAATGGGAAGGAAGGCCGACCAAGAGGCAACCCACAACAAACAGGCAAAAATGAGGAACACGAATCAGTCAACAAGTTCGACTTAAATGATGTATTTAATTCCAATTTTAACAACTTTTTATTGTCCTATAAGAGTAAAAAAAGGGAGATCGCCGTATCTCCCGCATCTGCGGCTTCTCCCACGTCTCCCTCTCCTCCCGCTTCTTCGTCACCTTCCAGGAATCGAATTTTTGAAATTTTAGAAACAAAAAACTCCCCATATGATCACTCGAAGGAACGAAATTGTATAGACTCCTCGAGGGAAGACTCCTACTTCGAAGATTACTTAAACGGTTTGAAGCAGAAGAGGAGTAGGGCTCGGGTGGGGGAAGACCCAAGAAGTGTGTACGTTCGCCGGGTTGATAAAGAGGAGCAGCAAACCCGATCCACGGATAAACCTACACAGAGGGGAAGCAACAAATGGGACCTATTGGCCGAAACGGAGAAGTTCATCAAACAAGATTCTCCACAAAATAGTAATGGTGTGGAGGATCCAAATGCACGTATGGAAAATAATGCCAACTCGGGGGGCCTTTTCGGGGGTGGAAGTGACTGTCCTGGGGATTCCAACGGGGGAAATATTAAGAAAGAGAGTGAGCGGTTTCTATTCAGCAGCAACTCCGTAATGAACACTGGGTCGAACTCCATCGGGGGGACGACGTATAAAAATGTTGTGAGGAGCCACATCGAGAATGCACACTTCACTAATTTCGTTAAAAATAAAAGGCAAAAGAATATCCTCCTGAGGAGAGGAGATAGCAACTCTGGTCTTTGTCTGACCAATCAAGAATGTAATACATCAAATAGGAGTGATGAGCTGAATTGGAAGAAGTCGCCATGAGTTTCACTACCACCACCCCGCTTGTCTGGGAGGTCACTTCCAAATAAGTAACGCTGCAAAAAATGGATGAGTCAATTTTTCGTTTCCATTTTGGCGCAGCATTTGTCTGAACGTTCAGTCGAAAAGGGTCCACGTTTGTACTTCACATTTGAATTTCACGTTTGAATTTCACGTTTGAATTTCACGTTTGAATTTCATGTTTGAATTTCATGTTTGAATTTCATGTTTGAATTTCATGTTTGAATTTCATGTTTGAACTTCACTTTTGAACTTCACTTTTGAACTTCACTTTTTTTCCCCATTTTTTTTCTTATTTTTACATCTGTGTACGCGCCATATGGATAATTTCTGTTCACCCTTCGCACATTCCATTTATGTCTAATTTGAGTTGCACACATTTGACAACTTAGCCCATCTTTTAAAAGGGTGTTCCCTGTGCCTTCTCCCTGGGACTATTTTTTTTTTTTTTTTTCAAGATTGCCAATTTTGCAACAACTTGGCGAATAAGCGGGGTGCCCGCATCAGAGGAAAAAGTTGTCCTTCACGATTTGCGAGAACAGCAGGGGGACCAGCGCTGCGAAGGGGTGAAGAGGGGGTGAAGAAGGGATGAAGAAGCGGTAAAAAGAGGATAAAAAAGGGGAGTAAAGAATGGACAAGAAATGGGGTAAAAGGGGCTAACTTATTCAGGGGAACAAGAACCCAGCTGAGCGGCCCAACGGCGTGCGGGCCACTCCCCTCGGCGCGATACCATATTTGCACTTGTACAGAGAGGCGGAAAAGGCGAAGGAGTTTAGCTGGTTGAAGAGGAAAGCCGCAATAACGCAGGATCGATCATCTCTTCGCATGCTCACATTCTGCGTGATTGCTTTTTGGACGAGCAACATCGCATTGATGAGGCAGTTCGAGTACACGCTCCTGAGGATGTCCTTGGCAGCAAAAAGGTAGTTCTTCAAGGTGTACTCCTTTGTATTAATATTATGCAATACGAACGAAAAAAGAAAGGTGTAAATAACGGTGTTTTCGAAGTATTTCAAATAAATTTTGTTCATAATAGTGTTGTAGTAGTAGTAGCTGTTGTTGTTGTTCTTTTTCTTCTTCACAGACACGTTGTTATTGTCTATGCAGAAAGGAGAATTAATTTTTTCAAAATAACTCTGCAGCAGCGTGAGGCATTCCTGTTTGTAGTAATCCTCATTGTTCTTTTTCACAGCGTAGTAAAAATCCCACATGGATTTTCCCCCCCTTGTATGTTCGCCTTTTTGTGAAATTAAAAATTGAATGATGGGTATGTATGAATTTTTTTTTTTTTCGCTTCATCGTCAACCAATTCGGGATGATGAGTAGACTCTCCTTTACTCGTATACGTTTCGATAAAATCCATTTCCTTGGCATACATTTCTGCGACATTTTTTTCATTCCTCAGAATTTTGAGGAGTAAGTAGGAGATAATTTCTTCCCTCTGCTGCAGGTTATAAAACAGGTTTGGATTATTCACTATTTCCTGGATATGTTCGTACGGGATGGACAAATTATCATTGGAATATTTTATGTAGTAAAATAAAATGCAGGAATAAATTTTCTTCTTCGTGTATTCCAAATTTTCGTCTTCCTCCAATTTTGCAAAAATGTATTTTATGAACTCAGCATGCTCCTCCTTATTTTCCTTTTCAATTTTGATAAAGGCGCTTTTATTTTTGTAGAATAATTCGAGTAGCCCCAACAGGGCATTTTCCTTAAAGGAATAATTTTCGCCTTGGACGCTTTTTACCAATTTGTAAAAAAATTTGTTCTCCAAATATACGGGCAAATTGTTCAACCCCATGGAGCTCACAAATTCAGTTAAGACAATATGGTCCACAACTCCGATGTCGTTCACGTCGTAGTGGTTTTCTTTCCTCTTGGCATAATAATTGCAGAGTGTAAACAGGAAAGTGGTCACATTGACTAAACTTACCCCAAGGAAAATATTTTTAAATTTTACTTTCTTCTCCTGTCGAATAACAGTTTTTATCATTTCGTAATGTTCACTTTTGCTTTTCTTCGGTACGGTGTTTATGTCACTTTTGAAATGCGAGAAGAGGACCCAACCAGGCTTTCTCTTCTGTACTGCCCTGTTCATTTTGGGACAAACTCCTCTCATTTGACGCTCCTCTGTCGGCTTCTGAGATTGGTATTTTTTCCTTGCGCATGGTTGTAGGGGCTTCCATCGCGTTGGTCTCTGCTCGCGGGGACTGCGTCAATAATTCTTCCGCCTACCCTTTGGTTAATTTGCGCCTGGCATGTGCTTGCAGAGTACATATTTGTGTGCGTATTTTTTGCGAATTCGGTTTATTTCAATTTTATGCTCCCCAATTTGGGCTCCACACCGTTGCAAGCATCCGGCCACACCTTCGCGAGCGTTTCTCCCCACACGCTTGCTCTGCACAGTGTATTGCCGGGCCATCAACTCATTAACGGAGCGCTAAAAGAAAATACGGAGGTGAAAATATTAACCGCATAGTGATTGGGCCCACGACTGACCATGCCAAAATTGCGAAGCTTTTCCGAGGTTACACGCGTTGCGCTTAAATTGGGAAACATCGATCCTTTGAAAAGAAAGCCAACGCGTAGGCGAATGTATGCAGAGGCACACGCGCTGCCTACAAACCCCTCATTGCAAAAGTCCCTCAAGTGAGCTCCAAAGCATGAATAGCCTCATCAAGTTTATGTACACCCCCAAAGCCCACTTCAACATTTATAATGAGTATCTGAACGCCTATAGGAAGAAAATCAACCGAATCCCTTTTTACATACGGAGAACGGGTAATTCTACTCAGACGGCTGAGTGCATCATTTTTCGTTCGTTGAAAAAGGAGGAATCTCCACTCTGCATTGAGGGTAGATACCACCCGCATTCTGGCAGTGGTTTGGGGACCCCAGCTCCCAGCACCTGCGTAACTTAGTCATGTGTAAGCAAGGAAATGCTGAATGCTAGCAACTCGTCTTCCCCACCTTTTAATAGCATCTGACAATTTGCCCGTTTTTCTCAAGTACAAAAATAATAAGAACCTCGTCGTGACGGTCATTCGAAAGATAAAAGGAAACAAAGAGGTGAGCGAGTGAGTGGATGAACTGGCGTAGCGGATTGAATCCCTTTTTCGGGTGAAGCAGCCCTGCTCTGTGAACCGTTACACTTACACCGTGCTGACGATACCTCCCATTTGAAATGCGTTTAACACATATTATTCGCCACATGGGGAGTGCTTCTCCGCCAGTCTACGTATAACTCTTAGCGATTTGATTGGCTAACTGATGTGTGAAATTTATTCCTTCCCTTCTCCCTTTTCAACTTGAACGCCAACTTTTTCCCTTGCTGAAAGGTTTTAAAAAGGGAGATCGAGTCCATTTGCAACACCAACGTTATTGAGAAAACGGATTGCTGGCTAATCAAGGGGAATCATAAGAAGAAAATAAAAGACGTAATGCAAAAAATGAACCTTGTGCCTTTGCTCCTTGCACCACAATAACAGTGTGGCGATGCAGCATTGCAGCGCTTCTCCGTAGAGGTGAAGAAGCTGCCAACCGATGTTTTCCGTTTTGTTCTTTTTTTTCTTTTTTCCCCATTTTTTCCCTTTTTCTTTCCTCAATTTTTACAGTATTTTAAATACATTGGCTACTGACCTGGAACAATTTTGCACAAGAGGACGGGCGGCGTTAAACTGGGCCGACAATTACCAACCCGCTCGCGCATTTTAAAGAAGTTCAGCTTACGTCTGTTCGACATAATTTAGACTTTTGTTACCAGGGTGGGTACCATTTTGCAATTTGCGTGTCCGTTGGGAGGGACCAAAAAGTTAAACACACAATATATGTACACGTGAAAAAATATATGTATTTATGTGAAGTTTTTTTTTTTTTTTTTACCTGACCTGTTTATAATTTTTTTTTTTTTAAAGGACGCGAAATATCAGAAAAGGAATTCCTTTCATTGGGCCCGTAAAAAGTATACACATGCAAGTATGCGTAAGGAGAAGAAGAAAAAAACATTAAGTCGAAGAGGCACGAAGGAAACAAACCCGTGTATTACCGAACGTGTTCACATGTTTCTGTGTCAGTCATTCCCGCGCTCTTACGCGCATACGTACGTGTAAATATATATAATACATGCGGTGGTTTATGTACGTTTCATCCTTCAGTTTGAAACTACACCGCGCACTCGGGTTGGCTTCAAATGTAAAGGGACGAAGTTGGAACAACACTGGAATGAAATAACCCCCTCACCAGCAGCATCACCAGGAGCATCACCACCAAAACATACACACACACACGCGAGAGCAGACAAACGCAGCAAACATGAATATAAACAGAATATTCCTCAGCAAAGTTGGGGAGGTTATAAAAAATGGGAATAGTGGAATGAACATGCAGCAAGGAGCAAGTCAATTGTGCAGCGGGAAAAAATTAATATACATTAGTAAACCAACTCATGGAGGTTTCATATACTGGAAATGCAGGGAACTCATACACACAGTAAAAAAGAAAACAAAAAGGTGCGCAAGATATTTGGACATTAATCATGACTTCTCTCGAGCCGCATTAGTAGGTGTGCCCAAAACGAGTTACGATCCCAAGAACAACATTTTCTACATTCAAATGGATAATGAGGAGTGGGCAGGTAACTTTAACAAAAAATGGCCCCGCATTATGTGTATCTCCTGGGGGAGCCATGTTCCTTGCAAAAATGTGCAAAATGGGAAAAGCTACTTTACGTACGACCAGAGCTGCCACATTTGGACGGTGCGCTGGGTGACCAACAGTCTCGATACGGTAGCATCTCGCATGTCTACTTTGCCACCCCGGGGTCACACGCCGTGATAGACCTGTCAGATAATTTGAGAGAGACATACTATAATGCGTCGAATTGGTGTAGCAACCCGCTTCCACGTGGGGAGGAGGCCATCCTCACCCTCGCCCCTTTGTTCTTCATTTGTGTGCCCCCCACACTCACGCATTTCACCCGCAGGAATTGGAAGCAAAATGATGCTGAATATCTCGATGAACATTCTGTTTTATCTGCACCTATCCTTCTGGATTTATTTCATATACTATCGAATGCTGGTGAACAACAAGCTTAATGTGTTTAGCAAGTGGAAGACCGACGACTGAGGAGGGGAGCGTCCCCACACGAGGGAGTAAAATCCATAAGAGTTCGGCGGTGGGGTATGCATACGTATACCTGTGCGTATCCCCTGTGTGCTCTTTTCTTTATCCATCGATTTGGCTAATTTTACATTTTGTTGGAGGTGTGCCCTCCACGGCTGTTTACATTCTTTGGTGGTAATTCAACCGAATAGGAAAGGGGGACGAGCCTTTAAGTACCCACACGTACGTATGGCACACATTGCTAGTGTCGTTTAACCACCCCACTTCTCTGTTGCATTGTGTGCATATTTCCCTTTTTTTTTTTTTTTTTTCTATTAATAATGCAATTTTTGTAAAGTTTTTTCTCGACGAAGAGGTACCCTATTGAGGATGCCTATGTGGATTATCAACCGTGTTGTACGCGGAATAATTAGCGACATATTCTGCGCTCATTTTTCGCCCTCTTCTGTTTTTCCCTCTTTCAAAGGCTTTCCCTTTTTCGCGGCAAAATTAACTTCATCCGTGAGCGGGACGGGGCGAACTACCATGACATCCCTGTGTGAAATTTTTCCTGGCTGGAAAAGGGGGATCACTCCTCAAACGGTTAGTGTTGTTTCACCGCTTGGCAATCGCATATCGTAAAATAAAATTTGTTAAAATTTGCAAAAGGGGCCAATTAAAAATCAGTGAGTTGATACATTACACGAACGGGTAAGTAAAGAAAAAAAAAAAAAAAGGGGCTATACATAAAGATAAAGCTAAAGGTACAGATACGCATATAGATATGGGCGCAGATACGCATGCACGTGCGCACACGCAGGCATGCACATATATATACGCATAAACCCATACATATATATAATTAATACGAAGAAGTGGAGTGTGGCAGGGGCAGAGGTTTGCACATTAAAACTAAAGCTTAAAATTGTGGCGCTACACATATGCATATCCATACGCATACGTATAGATAACGCGTGGGGGGAGGGGAAAGGAGGGAGAAACTAGTAAAGGGGCGAGTGAATGAGGGGAAGGGGTGGATGTACATCACGTGGGACATACGGACATCTGTGCAGAGGCATGTATAGGTGGAAGCGCTAGGGATTCCTCCCCCACCCCCACCCCCCACACATGCACACATATATACGCGCGTAGATGCTCCCACTTATCCTCGCAACTGGCATTCTCCATTTTCTACGCGCGCCTCAAGTCTGAACGGGGGAAACAGTCCCAGAACTGCTGTATCTACTAGAACGGCAGAAACGTGGCGCCCTCGCAGGGGGTAAAAAGGGAGGGAGAAAGTGCGCCGATCCAGCAGACAGTCAAGCCTGAACTTGCACACACTTTTCGTGAAAAAAAAAAAATATATAAAGAGCTATACAGAAAATTAAAACTCATTACTTTGACATGTGAAATTAAAAAAAAATTCTTCGCTGCTCATGGGATATGTACCCATGTTGTGCTCACATTGGTAACATCGCTTGGGAGAGAATGCCGTGTGGGTTGCTCGTTTGACTGCTCGTCGGACTACAAGTATGCATGTGCGTGGATGGTACAGGGCAATAATTAAATTTTACAGCAAAATGAACCCAAACTTTAAAAAGAAAGAAAAAAAAAAAAGATACATGAATATATATACGCTTGAAAAAGAATTTCCTCCGAGTAGTGCAATGGTGAGCTTCGTGCGTCGATTCGGCTGACTGTTGCTTCCCCGCATGGTTACACACAGGAGTGAGGGTTGTGCAGAGGAGGGGGCGGCTCCCGAGGTGGGAATGGATGCTTCTCATTTTGCTTCTTCGCCTCTTCGCGTTCCTTCCGTGCCATTTCTCCCTCTTCTTTTCACCCTTTGCTTGACATCCTTTCCTTCTTAACCCACGCAGATGCTGCCCTTCTTCCTCTTCCTCTTTCCTTGTCCGTCATCATTCAGTGTCGTGTTGGTGGTGTCAAAATCGTCTCCCGTCTGTGTGTCCATATTCGCGCACATAAAGTCCGACATGAATTCCGCCTTCGGAGATTTTTCCGTCTTGTTCAGGTCCGACAAATTATAACTCGCTGCATTCTTGTTGCTCTGCTTAAAGCGTACATTGGCGTTCCTCTTCTTAATGCACTCCTTGTGTATTTTTAAAGCTTCATTATACACTCCGAAATCTTCTGCTAGCTGCCACAGCATGGATAGATTGAAATATGGTAAGTAACTAATGGACAGTGGGGGGGTTTTATTTTTCATTATGACTTTACATTCCTCATTGTATTTGTACGCCTTCCTCAGCAATTTCAACATCCTCTTCCTTCCTTCCGTGCCAAGGGTCCTACAGAGCCCTGTTTTTTTATTGTCATCATGGTGAGTATTATCACTTCCTGTTTTGCTTCCCTCCGAGTAGCTAGCGCTCTTAAATTCTTTCTTTATTTTCACCGTCGTATTTCGCTTGATTGGCATACCTCCTCCCTTTGTCCCCATAATTATGCTACTTCCGCAGCTAGTGATGTCTGATCGGTCCCTCTTTAAATCCGATTCGTCCACTAATATGTAGTCCGAAATGTCGTCAAAGCTGCTGTGCAATTCGTTCGGGAAATCTCCAACGGAGAAGAAAGGGGACTCCTCAATGGAGGAGATGTCCGTGTTCGTTTCGAACTGTAGGTCCGAGTACCTCATCGTGTTTACTGACATGCTTTCCTCGTTTTTCAGATTCAGTAGCTCCATCGTGTCGTCGATTTGGAGAAGTCAAAAGGGGAGTGGGGAAAAAAAAAGTAGAGAGAGACGCGGGGCGAATTGAAGGAAAAGTGCACTACGTCTTGCAAACTTAAAGTTGGGTACAACACCTTCTATTTGCACCGTTTTGCTCACTTCTTGGTGTTTCTTTGCAATCAAGTTGCCACGGCCTGCTGCGCTTCTTCTCCTTTGGAAGCACCTCTTACAAACTTTAAAGCTACAATATATATAAAGCAGTAGGGTGCTCGCTACACGGTACACGCTACAGGGTTATACCGCTTAACCAGCTGTGCACGGTCGTATGCGCATGCATACATGCAGTTGTTAACACATGTATGTGTGTATATGTATGTATATCTATGTGGGGCCGTTTGGCAGGGGCATGTAGATACGCGCCCTCCCTCGCACATACGAGGGGTCGGAAAAACGATAAGAGGCTGCGTTTCGCGTCGTTAATTAAGGGGTTCTTTTAATTCGCGCCAAAGTGATTAAAAGGCTCGTTAATTAGGAAAAGAGAAAAAATAAATACGCGACTGAGTGATGAAGCGAGTGGTGAATTGGGGAGTGTTGAATTCGCGAGGGATGAATGCTCGACTGAATGATTATGTGGAGAAATATCCATGAGCGAGTGGGCACAGTTAAACGCTCTTAAAAATAAATTAACGGGAAAACAAAAGGAAAAAAATTAAAATCGATTAATTTATCCTTTTTTTAAAAAAAAATTGTATACAAATGGTGGGAAGGAGGCGCTTTTATGCATATGCAGATGCATAACTCCACAGGAAGTGGCTAATTGGTTCACAGAGCGAACGGTGCATTCGCTGCGGCGAAGTGACCATTCACAACGGAGGAGTAAACTTCTCGTGATGGCCCCACGTACGTTTCACAAGGGGGTTATTACAGCACAAGAACAACTAACGCAATCGAGCTGCCATTAACGTTCAGTTATCCTTTGCAGCCACCAAAAAATACACATACAGGGAGATACGAGCGCACGCGTAGATTTACAAATAGGGAAGTGGCCATGCACTACATAGGTGCGTGTCCATACGAACAGGGAGGTGTGCTTGCGCGTCGGTGTTTACACTGAGTTGTCAGAAGGCCACAAACGCAACGAACATCAGGAACGCTATGAGCCTTGCTGCGTTCGCGCACAGTCGGAAGGACGAGGGAAATTATCGCTTAAAAATAAGCCACAAAAAGTTGCACAATAACCTATATATACGCTTACGCGTGTACTGTGCAGGGGGGCAGAGAAGTGAATATTCACGTCACGCCTTGAAAGAACAGCGCACCTCGCGATGGTACGCGTTGGGAAGCATATAAAAACGCGGGTGCGTATAACGTACAACCAGATATTCACACGTATGCTTACGCGTATGCTTTACATGTGCATGCCGCCACGCACCAATTTAAACAAATACAGGAAAAGTGGTCAACGTGGGGGGCAAGAAGGGAGTAACAAATAAATGGGTAACAAATGAGTAATGCGATGCAAAATGAATGTTAAAAATGTGAGGGGTGAGAAGTCCGACTAAGTGAACACACTCGCGTGAAAAAACAACGGAGGTTCCCCAGTTGCGCACAGGCTCCGCTAATGGAAGGAGTCAAACTTTTCGAGAAAATTATATTACGATTTTAAAGGGAAAAAATGAGGAGGCCACGTATAAACACATACGCATATTATACGTGTATACATATATGCTTATTCGTATGTACAACTAAACTATATGGTTTTTTTTCTTTTTTTTTTGGAGGGCCAAGTGCTGAATGGTTAAGAGGGGCACCCTTCAACACGGGGCACGCATATTCGAAGTGGCCGCTGTGCACATATGCAAAACCAAGCACGAGCTTACGCGCCTTACTTCGTTAAAAAGAGGAAGGTGGAGAGAAAGCATGCTACAGTGAGGACACTCTTATGCGCACGCAGAGGGTGAGAAGTATGACAATTAACAAAAGCTATCACAAAATATATTAAAAAGAGTTATAAATCAAATAAAAAAAAAAAAAGGAAAAAAAAAAATGCATCATAAAAAGCATGTAGACATACTACTACAGTTAATTTTAATTAAATATCATTAAAACTTCACACGTACATAAGTACACGCGTATGCAGGCATATACAAAAAGCATACATAGAAGCGTACATAGAAGCGTAGATAGAAGCACACATACCAACACACTTTTGTGTCTTTTTTTTCTTTCTTTTATTCTTTCACAATGGGAGCTAAAGAGAGATTTAAAAAAAAAAAAAAAAAAAAAAAATCTGTGCAACACAGTGTTGTGTATATATATGGTTAGACAACGATCATACATTTATTTTTAATTCTTTGCATGAATGAACTTATGTGTACCTACAAGTGCACATGCGCTACGCACGTATACATATGTACACTGGGAAAAGGCGCTGGCGAAGGGGAAGCATATGCAATCGTTCTGGCATGGGCTGCTTCGCGCGCGCTGTAACAATATTCAGAGAAAAAAAATACAAAATAAGAAAATGTGCAATATAAAATATGCAGCGAAAAAAGAAACAAAACTAAACAATTGCAACTGGAATGAAAAGCGACACACGTTTCACTTCAAACAAACTGCTTGCTTCTTTCGTTTGCTGCTCGTCGCTATATTTATTCCCTCTTAGCATGCGTCAACGCACTTACGCGAGATTTTTCCCACAACAACGCCCTGTAAATGTGATTCGTCACGCACAATTTTGTATGAGTGTGTGCACCGATGCGAGTGACGAAAACAGATAGGTCTGTTTTAACATCGTTTGGCGCGTCGCTCTTGTTAATTCATGCGCTTTGGTGAGGCACCGTGGCACGATGACACACAAGGGGAGCTAATGCAGGCTCGGGTGAACGTATAGCCTCGCGGGTATGCGCACAACGATAGAGGCGACTGTACAGGCACGCGCTGCGCGTTGCGCAGTTCGGCACAACTGCCACGCGTGTTCGCGAGGAGCAGAAAAGTCCACTTGCGATCCCTGCTCAAGATGCTTCAGCAGGTACACACGCGGAGGCAGTCGCTTTATGGGTTTCTATATGCATATGTAAGTATATATATGTATCTATATATATGTATCTATATATATGTATCTATATATATATGTTTGTATATGTATCTATATATATGCATATACATATGTGTATGTACATATATCTGCGTACAAGGGACGGCCTTGCCCAAGGCGCGCAATTACATCCCACGAGCACAAGCACAAGTGGTTGAAGGCGTAAACAGCTCGATATTTGCGTCCTTCAGCGTAGCCACGTACGTATATTATATATACCTTCCGTTTTTAGCTTTTCTCTTTGCACTGTGTTGCTTGTGTTTTTTTTTCTCTGTTTTTCCCTCTACTTGTTTGCACGTAAGCATATGTACATTTGTTAATAAAACAGCACTGGTGGAATGGACGAAGTACGCTTTAAAAGTATGACACGTAATGGTTTGGAATTTACTTCCTTTCGAAGCCTAGAACTTTGCTTTGTGTTAGCTTCGTTTCGCGTTCGCGTTTACGTTCAGATTGCATCGAGTTCGCTCGTGCGATTTCGTTTCATTTATTTTTTCGCGCGGGGGGAGGAAATGGAGCAAAACATTCACGTGCTCGATTGCGATAAGGGGAGGGGGATGCTTACAAGTGAGCAGGTGACATGCAAGAGGCAAAAGGGCGAGCAGTTAAACGCGCCAATATGCAAAGCGCAATATACAAATTCGTACATACGTACAAATAATCCCCCGCGTATGAAACTACGCCATGTAAACATTACATACGCAGCTGCATACGCGCAGGAGAAATGCGTTCATGCTTCGCGATATGAGCGGCCGCTTATGCGTAGTTGAAGTACATGTATAATTAATTATAGACAAATGGATGTATACGTTCAACGCATGTATTCAAAATGTATACAATGTATACAAGTATGGGAGGAAAAATTAACAAAGGTAGGAACATTTGAACAAGGCGCAATTTAAAAAAAATTTCCTACATTTGTAAATTATAAAAAACGTAAAGAATTAAATGAATGGCTGACAGGAGATTCGCATTTTAAAAGTGGGAATTAGCAAAACGTTTGTATAAAAAAAGCTTTACATTTCCGTACAGTATATATATACAATGGTCAAAAAGAAATTTTTTGAAAATAAAAAGAATGGCAGACGGATGTATGGAAATTGTGGATACAGCTCAATAAAGTGGAAATAAAAAATATGACATAAATGGGTCTTATGAGAAAAGGGTTACATTTACATGATATGTTTTCTCATTATACGTTATTATATACTCATTTTATAGGCTAAATTACATGTATATATGAAAGTCTCATCTTTCAAATTCTGTATTTATAAATATTGCCCACATGTTAAGCCATAAACAAAACAGACGCAGAAGAGAGGCAATAAAAAGGCGCTAAGCAAAATTGTCAGAAAAAAAAAAAAAATATATATCAACTGTCATAAGCACCACTTAGTTAACCCCCTTTGACAATTTTTCCTTCTCATGTAAATTTATTTTACATTAAAAATTTTTATTGCTCGCAAGTAAAATAAATACAGAAATGGTAAACATACATTTGGGTAAAAAATGCCACTTATTCGTAAATTTATACGAACAGGGGAATTTGAAAAAAAATGATTATTCTATAAATTTATTTCTTTGGCACAAGAAGATACAAAATGATCACTTTTTGTTTACCCTTTTTTTTCTTTTTTTTTCCCCAAGAGGGCAGGGTATATACATATATATATGCCCACGTGGAAAATATATACTTAAAATATTGCGCTTGAAAGGGATGAATAAAATGGCAAAAAGTATATAGAAACAAGCGAATGGGGAACATAAACTGTATTGTATTTACATATAAAGGTACATTAACAATATTTACGAAAAATTATAAATACGAATGGTTATATTTTTATGTATTTATATGAAGCTGTCTCATCACATGAACATAATATATTATGTGGGGGGATATAATCATCGGACGCTAGAC